TATGGCGAGTTCGAGATTGTACTTAATGGTTGAGACCGAGGGTAATTGAAAAAGATAAAAGTTATCTAAAATCAAAATTTTTGTGCAGTGCAACTTTTTGTTTGTCAATCAATACACAGTGCAAATTTAATCCCCCATAAAGACAAACTCTGAGGTACCGAAGTCATGTTTATGCCTAAATGGGCTACGTCTTTGTCAATATTCCAAACAGAAACTTGGTGCTCGAAAGAATTCCCCAACAACTAAAGGTCATTTATTTAAACAGAGTTTGCACCAAGCAAGTTCTAAGTCAGGTGTGTCAGAGGGCACAAAAACTTTTTTGTCAGGGTGAATATGTAGCGCTACCTCACTATTTCCATGTGATTCGTCATTGCGTACTGCTATACGTAACCGGGTGGGGTAAATTCACTATCAAACACTCCATAATGTATCCAGGTCTCCGTTATGACCACTACATAGGGAGAGTAGGACGTGACAATGGCGAGTAAAGGAACGAGTTTGTTGACTTTATTTCTGGCATAGAAGTATAAAATACTCAAATTTTTTAAACATCCTGACACTTAACGAGAAGTTTTAATTTTTGAAGCAACCGATTCTGTAGCGGTCCCAGCAAAACCGTGTTTTATAGAATCTACACTGGTGTCCCTGATGCAACGCACTTCACCAATATAAGGCATGATCCTAACGGAGCTTTACTCCGGATCCTTCATCTTGATGACTGGCAATTTCTTTCCAAAGTTTCTTTCGTAAGGCGAAAACAGGCGGGGATAGGTCTTCAGTTATGCACGGATAAGACCCTTTCAGTTTCAAAGCATTTTTTATAAAGCGCATCTTCTCCTTGTAATCGAGAATTTTTATAATGACTGGTCGTACTCACCCTTCACGTGATTGGTCTATGCAATGACATCACTCAGTATCTGGGCATTATGTCTGAAGACGCTCGGATAGCACTCGTGTTACCGCATTCAGCGAATAATCAGTATTTTCATGACGCATTTCCGACAAATCATGTAAAATATTATCGTTTTACGTGAACGTTTTTCTAAGTATTCTGACTTTAAACTGAGTTTGTTGACAGATTCCCGAAGAGACACAATTTCAGAGTTAGGTTTCTCGTTTGTCGCACCATAGTGAGTAACATCTTTGGAAGATTCGAGGGCTGATACTTGAATCTCAAGGACCTAGAAGCGTGAGAATATGTTTCTTTGATATCAGTAATGTCACTTGCAGTTTTTTTTTTCGCCAGCCGCTAATTGCGCAAGACGATTAGACGTGTTGTTTGAGGAGCTAAAGGCGCTGCTATTGCGACTCGTAACGAGGGTGTTAAACTCGGCTGTATTAGTGCTAATCGCTGAAAGCACACTTGTAGAACCCGGGTTAGGTTCAAGGTCACCACACAATAGAAGGCCATCGAAACAGTGCAAAACACGAAAGCAATATGCAACAAGATTGTTCGGGTTGAACAGCGGGAATAAGAAGTATTCGTCGTAACGATAGGTATAGGCATTAAGAATATAAACTACCTGCGTGAAAAACAGGCACCAATTTAGCGACGTTTCGGCGTTGCCACTGTTCCGTCAACCGATGCGAGAAGCCGCTTTGAAGGCCTTTATAGCGTCTGTGCTGACGTTGTCGACCACGTGGTAACGATGAATCATATTGAGTGGATGATGTTGGTCACAAGCGTAACACGTAAGTTCATCGGCAAACGCGCGCGTCATGCCAAGGTTAACATCAAGCAGTGTGGCCAAAGATGCAACATCGAAGACATTGTCATGTTGCAGAGGCAGCATGCATGATAAGGCAGCATCACCGTAGAGCAAACCATGGTAGAATTAAAAAGGTGCATGAAAAATAGGCATTGATTTGACTGGCATTTCGGTGTTTCCACTGTTCTGCCCACCGCAGTGTTGACCCCACGAATCTGAGGAATGTAAATATTTGTCCCAAGAGAAATCAAACCCCAGAATTCTGCGTGGAAGTCAATTAATCTAGTACAGAATCACCCCAGGTGTCGGAACTTCTTTTCGGATAGGCCAAATAGAAAAAGAAATAGAGAAAAGAGAGACCACGCACATCTACTACCCTTCTTTCCTCGTGCGAGGCTTGAAAGTTACAATTGTAGAATTACTGAAACCTAAAATTCAAGGTCTTTTTTGTTAGAAATTCAACGCCGCACTTCACGCCCCCACCCCATAATTCAGTGCAAACAACTGTCATTCATAGTGTTTTTTTTTTTTTTGCAAAAGAACCTGAAGCAAAAGTGTAGCTTTGTGATCGAACACATGCTTGCCACACAGGTGGCCCGGATTCGATTTTCATTCGAATAAAGCTTTTAACCTGAACTGTTCCTTCGCGAACCACTAGCACTCTCATGTTTTCAAACAATCTATCTATCTATAGATAGATAGATAGATAGATAGATAGATAGATAGATAGATAGATAGATAGATAGATAGATAGATAGATAGATAGATAGATAGATAGATAGATAGATAGATAGATAGATAGATAGATAGATAGATAGATAGATAGATAGATAGATAGATAGATAGATAGATAGATAGATAGATAGATAGATAGATAGATAGATAGATAGATAGATAGATAGATAGATAGATAGATAGATAGATAGATAGATAGATAGATAGTGCTGCAGTATGCAAAAGAAGGCTTCACGTTTAACAGCGGCCAAAATCCTGCAAGGTACATCGTGAAGGCTTTCCTTAGAACAGTTAGAAGAAATTCGTAATTTAAATGCGAGAGAGTATTTAAAAACCAACCACAGCCACGTTGATCCGACCTATTTAGTTTATAAAGTTCAGGATCTCAGCAGGAACCGAGGCCAAGGGTTCTACAGGGCAGTAACGTATACTACTACAGCCCCGCCGCTGTGGTCTAGTGGCTAAAGTATACAGATGCTGACCTACAAGTCACAAAATATCTCGGCTTCAGCGGCTGCGTTTTCGATTGAGGTGAAACTGTTGTAGGCCCGTGTGGTCATATTTCGGTGCACGATGAAGAACTTCAGGTGGTCGAAGTTTCCAGAATTCTACACTGCGGCGTCTCTCATCATCATATGGTGGTTTTGGAACGTTACACCACACATATCAATTAATGTGTACTACCGCAGAGGCAATCCAGGTCTTGAAACTGCTATTGAAAAGCAGTTTCATGCAGTAGTCACATCATCCCATGCAGTTGTCACATCAGTTCAGTGTCAATTGTAGTTACAGTGCTGAATTTATTTAAAAAACGCAATAAACATCCCATATCGACTTTTGCACTCTTTGCGTCATGTCGCGTTAACGTTAGTGTTAGTTTCAGTGACTGCTACATCTTTTTAGTGGTGTATTAAACATCACACTTGAATTCCAACAATGCAGCAAGCTATTTGAAACGTTGCCTAATCCCGGCAGAAAAAAAAACGCTAGAGGAAGTTTTCCAGGGCATCCGCGTCATCGCACCATCCGTGGCACTTTGTTATGGCAACGCTGATGTATATGCGCTAACATGATTGCTGATATTACTTCAGATCCAAACTTACCATTTAACTGCTGTTACAGTAGACGCGCCTGGTAAACCCAAGATGAGCTCTAAACTGATCCACTGACAAAACGCATCGATACGCATCGTAAACTTTTCTCAAAGCAACTAAAAGAAAACGACATATATATTTTTTATGCTTTCCGACAGCTTCGCATGAAAGCGATTCCCTTGAGATGTATCAGCGAAGTTTTCATTATTTATTTTATTTCCACTTTTTGCAATTTTTTGGTCAAAATCAATGACGCCAACGCTGAAAGTTGCATTTATGCGAAAAGAGCTTTTTAGCGCTATCTGTATAAACTGTTTATCCCACAGAAAATGCCTACATTGGGTATTGATGGGATACTTCAATGACTATAGGGGCAAGGGTGGTGCCTACTTAAGACGAGAAGCCAAATAAAACTTATTTTCACTCTTAGAGTTGTTACAGATTCGATACGCGCAACTTTTGTTTCTTGTTAATTGGTGTATGCCCACAAAAATGGTCGCATCTAGCTTGGTACCACGCCGGTTGCTGCAGTCATTTGAGCAAGACGGAAACTAAAATAAAGCGGCAAGAAATATTGTAATAATTGTACTCAATACATGACCTTCTTTCCGTCTTCAGTTTAAACATTGTTGTGGTGTTGCAGTACCACTATTGGTTCATAACATTATTTCATGCGTAAAAACACTGTTCATTACACACTTCTTCTCACCGCAAGCTACGACACCACCTTCTTTCATGACAAAAGCATGAAAGGTCAGGTGGCACCCACGCGCCGCTATTTCGCTATTACTTTGGACGCATATTTTATGCAAATTCAACATTCATGCCCAATTATTTTTCCCTGGCATGTCACATGTGCCATTACCTAATGGGTTTAATTATTTACCAATAGTACAAAAAGGGTAATGAAGGCAAAGTGATATGATTGTCCAATCAAATCATGTTGCCTTCATCTCAGCCTAAGAACAAGGCAGGTCCGCGAAAGAGCAGCATAGCGTTCGAGCGCGAAGCCTCGAATGGCTCTGTTTCGGGTAATGTAATTAGAAAGTAATTTAATTTCTTTACAAAGTAATGTTAATGTCAAGTCATTGCAGTTGGCCGATTGCAATTTGTAGTCCATTTCCTCAATGGCAAGAAAACTTTCTTTTACATTATTTGAAAGAATATATAGGTAAGTGGTTAATCAGACAGTGTAATTACTTTTTAAGCATGGTTCTGCGCTATTTCATTGGTGCACATATTGATTTTGTCGGAAAATAAAATGACGTATTTGTGTAGCACAAGTTATGATACTTGATGGCAAAAATACCTGTACAAAAAGCGAAATCAAACTTTCTGAAATAAAAGGCCTCCGGCGTTTTGTCTTCGACCACGTATCATTCATCAAAATATGCTGGATTACAAAAATTGACGCTGCGTTCAATCACTTCATTTTAAGTCTGTTTTTTCTTCTCTCTTTTAGGCAATGGAAAACTTCACCAAAGGCTTCAGCCTCTATACATCTATCGATGACTCGGACTTTAAATGCCTCACTGTCTCTAGAATATCATTTAATCTTGAGGCAAGGAAAGCTGTATACGTGTGGCATCTGAAAGGCCCCGACGGCACAGTCAGGTAAGCCCAGTGAGCACGATTCATATGAAGTGACAAAACATCACGCGTTGTCTTTTCCCTAATGGAATGACGGAATCGCGAACGTCGCTGTATGTGAGGCTGGCCTATTGTTTTCTGCGATCATTTATTTCCTCGTTATCGTAATTCATCCACGACAGCATTCACCGCAAGTGTATGCAGGCCACGCCGCAATGCTTGAGAAAATTCGCGACCTCTCTAAAATACGCCTGCTCTAGCGCCATAATCGCGTGTGTCATGCCATGCCCGTTGCAGATTGCCGTGCATCAGTGCCTTCGCAAAGACCAGCAGTGTCAAGTGCCATGCCACACGGTAACGCGACGAGATATCCTTTGGTTTTCAAACGCGTTGGCATCACGTACTGAGTTTGTAAGCCTTTTTAAAGTCGGTAGTTTGCCTTGGGAACCTTCGACGCAAAAATTTCAGTCTGTCTGTCTGTACATTTGTCTGTTTGTCCACTCCTAATGACGCCGTGTATTCGAATCGACCGACCCCATCCGCAGCGCCCACTAATGTTGCTCAAGATTTAACGTTCATACTTGTGCAATTGTTAATTAAGAAGCAATCACTTCGCATGTCTGGGGCACCAAACAACACGCATATAATCTGCATGTGCTATTTTACTAGAAAAGGCATACAAAAGTTATTTTGAGGACCGTGGCACTTGTAACACTGCACTGACCATGCAACGCTTGCACGAAAAGGCCGCTTTGCTAAGACGAGGTGGTGGTGGCGCCTACCCACCGCCTTGCGTTCTACACATTATCACCTCTGAGACGGGCGCACGCACCCGTCTCAGAGCCACACGCTTCGTTTTCCAAGAAAACTGCTAGATAGCGTTCATGTCTCACGTGTTACGTGTCTTAACACGGCCAAAGCGGATTTCGTCACGTTCTTTCGCGCATCAGGTGTAGTGACGCAGCGCCAGCAAAGCGTGTACGTGGAGGAAATTCACTCGCTCATAAAGGCGGAGGAGTCCCGTCTTGCGTGGCCACCGAGTAAGCCGCAGGCGTCTGAAACATTTCAGTGATATTAGGGCAGCTATTGAGATTACATCTTCGTTATTTCTTTTAATGATATCATTAGTTTAGACCTTGTATGTAGATTTTGTCCCGGCTTTAGGCCCTGATACCTTTGTGAACTTTATGGCAAGAATGATCACTCCACATGAGCTGCATAGATAGACCATAAGTTGGGCTCCTCAATTGCCCCATAGTCAAAAAAAAAGAAGAAAAGGCAGGGGCAAAAGCGCACAAAGGACGTCACTGTACTCAACAGTGAACCATGTTTCTGTGCTCACAGTTTCATACATGGCAAAACACGCTCAGATACAGAGATACACAACATTGATTTGTGTGTCGCGTGTTTTCCCCGGCGTGATATCATCTGCCAAAGAGATCTGCCATTCTTTTTTGTTGTTGAAACCGTGCGCTAAATAAAAATATGGTAAATAGGGCATGCTAAATGTAAATATGGTACTACTGTGTGTGGGAGCTGCAACGCACGACACTTCAGCCGGTACGGAAATGATGAAGAGAACATGAATTTGTCTAAGCCTTGTTTATTTCACTCCCTAGGAGCCCGTAGCCTATTTGTAGTCATGCGCGCGTTACCAGTAAAAAGTAATAGTGTTACAGTTACAGTTACTGAAGGCAAAATAGTAACGCTGTTACAGTTGCAGTTACAGATTTTGTAAAAGTAACTTGTTGCAGTTACAGTTACAGGGAAAAAGTAACGTCGTTATTTTTTGTTACTGTGTAAAATAAGTAATTGATTACAAAACAAACGATAGGTTTCAATGATTAATGGCGTAGGAAGGCATGCAGGTAATGAAAGTTGCATGTTGTGAAACCCTAGATGAAAAAAAACCTTAAAAGTCGGCCAAGTATAATCAATCGTTCTGTAAGGCTCACTTTGTCACATCAGTTTTGTTGTTGTTATTCTTGTTGTTGTTGTTGTTGTTGTTGTTGTTGTTCTTGTTGTTTATGCAGTTTATGCACACTTGGTGACAAGGAATTTTACTTGCAAAATTCGTTACACTTTAGCATTAGTTGCTTTTCAAAGTTTTCATCAGAGAGCTTTCCCCTCTTGATGGACAAAATGTGGCGTCCTTTGCTGAATAGCCGTTCAGCCGGCGCACTGGACGGAATTCCCGTATTTCGCTGAATGAAAATCTTCTTAGTATTAGGGTACTTCGCCAGCTCGCTGATGTCAGTTCCGGGATCGCTGAGCCATTGTTGCACCTCGGAGCATGAAAAGGAGGAATGATGCAACTGAAAAAAAAACACGTCGTCTTCGTCAGTTCTTTCGCTGGTGGCTGCATTTTCATTGAAAATTGCTTCTAGAGCATGACACTCTTCCTCAAGAAGTCGTAACGTCGCTGCTTTCTGCGCTTCAGTCATCCAGAAAAGCTTGAACTTTGGATGTACCGCTGCTGCCAGGGCCAGATCGGCATCCTCCAAAACTCCAGAAAACCTGTATTGAAAAAGGTTACAGAAACAATGTATGGCCCTGTTAAAAACATTTCACTTTAATTCATACCACGGACAATCCGTGGTACGAATGCATATGCACCCCTGCGAAAGCAGGCGATGAGATAGGACAGCAAAGAGATAGGCACAGGAAATTACTCTCACTTTTTCTTGACTGCGTCTTGAAGACTGCTATCAAGGGATGTGCAGTACTTAAGCGGCGGGAGGGATCGCTGATACCGCAGTAGAGATTGAAGTGTTGGCTGCAGGACGCCCATGAACTAAAATTGTTCCCCTTGTAGTATATCCAGCGCCTTTGCCACAGCGTACATCGCCTGGAAAAATAAAAGATATAGTCAATGCACTGAATCATAATAAACAAATAATCGAAACATACCTTGCAGTATACTCATCAATGAACATAGATTCCTCATGCTGCAATCGTGGCAACGAGAATGCGTCGAACGTTGAGTCCATCCTCCCTTTCGGTACTTCGTTTACGTACTTCATGGCGTTGAAGAACTAATCCCATCGCGTTGCATTCGGCACAGGGAGATGTCTTCCCAAGGCAGCCTTTATTGCGTCAGCTGCCTGCACAGATTAGCTTTGTTTCCTTCAAAGAGTCTTCAGTTTTGAGAAAACGGTCCTCACCATTTCGTGGTAGGTCCCGTTGTTGCCGGAATTTTCGGCATCTACGGAAGCGACGAGGTTTAGGGTGTGCGCGGCACACCTTCTGTGCCGTGACAAGTGGATATCTTGAGAGGAATCATTGTTCGAGCCACTGTCCAGTACCTTCGTGATGTTTTTTGCCACAAAATCTTGGTCCTGTTCAGCTTCTCCAAAGACCCTGAGTCCCGAAAAATGAAAATTTCCAACAAGTTAGCGCGGAAATGAGCGGGTGGAGGCTCAACATTTTTATACAGCATCCATATAATTTGATTGACTAGTTTGTTAGGCAGTACGAAATAAAAGTGCCAACAGCTGGACGAAAAAAATACGGGACAGAACAGAGCACTCCCTTAACAATAAAACTGTTAGAAAAAGCAAGAAAGGAGTGAAGGTTAATATCCATTAACAAATAAAGATAAACGCGACGACTATGCCCAAGCAGACGCATAAATGCACCCAAAAGTTTGCGGAGCGTATAGGCTCTACTGCAAACGCGAATTTCTGCTCTGTTAGCACGTGGCGCTTCTTAAATAGCTGGTAGCTGTGTAGCTCGCAAGGACTATACTACAGGCCGGAACATCTATTTGGAGGTCATGTTCTCAGACAAAGCCGGAATATAGATTCCTCGGAAGTTTTGTACTCCGCACGTTTTTGTGGCGGTTTACATCTGTGTTACGCTTCTTACAGAAAAAAGAATATTGCATAACACCCATGATCATTAGCCTTATATGTAACATAGCACAATAATGGGCTTTAGAAAATGGCGAATATCTTATTAAAACAGAAATCCAGGTCTTTTAAAAATACGAGGGACGACACAAAGCGTAAAGTTTTTGTTGTGTGTGCATTGCATTTGTCTCTCGTCTTTTCTAGTCTCCGGGCTTTGTACAATATCTCTGTAGAACATATTTGTGTTTTAAATTCTGACTCTACAAAATAACCACATGACTATCTAGATTTGCGAAGGATATACAGAAGTTTGTCGTAAATTCTAGGGTTACAAAATGTGCCTTAATATGGAACAGTTGAGGGCATGCGCGCAACTCTCCATAGTCAGTGAGATCAGAAATTGCAGCATGCCAGGCTCATTAATTTATTGCGATCATAAAAAAAAGAACGCAGCTGAAGTAGATTTGCAGCTTAATTTAGTTTATTGTTGGGAAGGATAAGATAATAAAAATAGGCAACCTCGGTGTACACAATGAGATTAAAACAGAAGCAGCCTTTAACCCTACCCGAAGGCTTTAACCTACCTGAAGCGATCTGTTCCCTTAAACTGCGTCGGGAGCCGTCGAAAGTCGAAAGGTGGAGAGGATACTGTAAAAAAAAGTTCGAAAAAATGAAAAGCGTTTAACGTCGGCCTCTAACGAGTGTGGCTGTTGGATAATTTATTACAAAAACAAAAGTAATCTGTAACTGTATTTTCTGTTACACTTACTCAGTAAAAAAGTAACAATGTTACAGTTACAAGCATCCTCTGAATTAAAAGTAACTAGTTGCAGTTACAAGTATCTGAAAAAAGTAACTGGTTACCAGCAACGCGTAACTAGTAACTAGTATCTGTCCAAGACTGCCTATTTGTCACGAGATGAAGTTCAGAAGAACTACTGCTTTCATAGTGACAAACTCACTAAGGAGAAAATTTTCGCGTAAGAGGAATTTTGTTGTGTAACTCAATTTACGAAATGGAAAATAACGTCTTAAGATGTTACTGTTGTCACATCGGCTGCTGCAATAAAGAGCACTTCGACTGCAGTAACATATCAGCGATGGTGATGTAGTTGATATATTTGCTTACGCCACCAAAAAATACCCGTAAGTGGATTCACAAAGCAAAGTTTTTTTGTAAAAACAGCACTGGCACGAGGAAATCCCAAGGGTGGTCCGAACCGCTCTTGGCATTTCCTCCTTCACTGCTCAGATATTGATGAAGGCTGCAATAATATGGCAAGTAATCTGGATAAAATGCCTCTAGTAATTTTATATGACATTTAAAATGTGCAAATCCTCATGAAATTTTCCAGCAAAAATTAGCAGCCATTTATTTGGTGTAAGAATATTATATATTATAACTGTTTACTTTATTACATGTAGTAGTGCTTGTTATTTCAACCACTGCCGTGTTTATTCTACGCCAGTGGTCATCATGAATACAGCGGTATTTATTTTATTGGGTGCCCTTGGGCCTGTTCATTGCAAATTATTGTGTTTTTGCATTGTTTTCATCTTCCGAAAGCCTGTCAATACTTTTCGTTTTATTTGTAATTGTGTTTTTCGATTCGTGAACCTAACGAATGTACAGTCACTTTTCTAAAATTCTCTCTGAAGATTGCAGTACAGAGAAGTAAACAAAAAATAAAAGTTTACATGTAGAGCCAGCCGCTCATTCGTATTTTGCGTGAGACAGTGATCATCTAACCTGGGAGTAATTGCGTGGTGAAGCCAAAACCTCCGCCACAAGCTCTCATGTAAGCAGACGACAAACGCGAGCAGACGAAGTAAGAGTTTCATGAAGCAACCAAAAGCAGAGCTACTGTCTAAGACGTAGATCAATTTGTCAATATACTGTTTTTCTTGGAACGATCGGAGACCCCCTCAGCAGAGCCCACTGTAGTTCTTCATTACTAATGGCAGCAGAATTACATGGAAGCGCGCAACATGACAGGTACCGAGAGAGAATACGGAAACTCATTACTCTGTTTGTACCTTGTCTCTTTTTCCGTGCCTTTTGTGCTTTCTGCGTGTAATGAATCCCACAAAACTAACTCTAAAAGGTGTCGTGACAAAGCCAGTCATCTTGGCCGCAAGCAATTACCTCACTGCATTTCTAGGTGTTTCTTGACAAGATCATGATGTCTGACCACTGGTCGTATATCCAGACACGCCAAATGTAATATACCAGGTAATGATGGTGTTTGCGTACTAATATTGGTGTTTCAGCACAGGGGACTCTTGCGATAACAGAAATTGGAGAGGGAAAATATGAGCCCTGATGTCTGTAATTCATGGCGGAGCACGGTTCGGCCCTATTGAGTCAAAAGGGGAGTGAAAAAAGAGCAAAAGCCACGTTATAAAGAAAAGAGTACACGCCGAAACGCATATTCTCAGGTCGGGCCACCTGTCAAAAAAATCGGTCGCGGCTCGGCGCCACCGCAAATTGAAACCAGTTCTCCTACATTGTAGTTGAACACTGTAACCACTCGTTGACTGCTGCAGTGTTTGAGATGAGAGCTTGCAACTGCAGCATTTCGCGTCATTGTTAATATATCGCCATTCCCTCAAAAGATGCCAAATGCAAAACAAGCTCTGAATCTTGGTCATAACTTGAAAAAAAGAATTGGAATGCGTTCGCCCAAGGTGACTAAAAGGTAGAAGCCACCAAGTGTGGCTGTACTTTATTGTGCACTTTATATCAGCGCATGACTACGCTAATCAACTATCCTGAATTCAATGTCACTATAGTCTCCTTCACTAAATCATACACAGTTTGTTTTCATTATCATCATGTAAGCAAACTTTTGCTAATCAGCTCACAAATCTCTTCATTAGCTTTGATTCCTAAATATCAAGACCGTCACAATTTATCTTTCTTTCTGGGTGGCTGTCACTTCAATAAAACGCATGGTCCCCATTTTTTATGCTCTCCAAGCATCCTACACCAATTTTCCGAACTTTCCATGACGTCTGCTGCCCAAGAAGATCGTCTTTATCATATCGATCACTTCGATAGGATAAGCTGTCTCTCTCTTTTTTTCCCTTCTGTTTCGCGCATGTGGTATTGTCACTTCACGCCGAGACTCATGAACATCTCTTGTTTTCTGTTTGTTCACGAAAACGCCGCACAACCGAATAACTGCATCACGTTTTCTGAAAAGCATAAGCACTGAAACACCTCCCGAGGAATGTCGCTTGTTTTACGTGGTCACATATCGAAGCGTAAGCGTACAGTCTGTTCTCGCATTCTCGATTTATCAAAATGATGCGGGGCATAAAAGCTGTGACGTTACACTCACGATACCGTTTCAATACTGCTGTTTTATATTTCTGCAGAATTCCTCCACAGTAACAAAAGCCGCAACTGTGTCTTGTAATGACATTAATGTGAGAAAGTCAATCTGTTGCGTCTAGCTACAAAACCCCCCTACAGTCAATACTAACCAATGTTAGATACTGCCGGGTAAGTTGAGTAGCACGCAGCAGCTTTAATAAATTGCAAGGTAACTTGTCGCGTTAAGCCCGGGAAGACACTTGGGGCTCATCTTCAAACATTGGATGCATCCATTTTTGCTCAGTCTGGAGTGTAGTTCACTTCCACTTGGTGAGATAGCACACGAGTTATTACTTAAAGCCATAGAACTATTACTTTTTTTAGCTACGGTCATTGATGGAACGCAAGCGCGTAGGTTTCCACAGGACAACCATACGTTAGTTGCAACGCGGCAGTGCGTGAGCGCTGTAGCAAATGCCCTCGGAACTTGAAGTTGATATGCAGCAAATCATTGGCTATCAACCATTGTGTACTCTCGATGTTAGATGCTTTGTGTGCTACCTTGCTATCATCGTCACGCACTTTTTTCTTTCTATGTAGTTTCATTGCCTTTTGTGTGTCCTCATTGCCCTCAAAAATTTTGTGTAAGGTAAACTCATGACGTGGCTATCGTACCCTCTCAGTATAGATAATTCCTTGCTAAAAAATGTGTGTAGCGAAAAGAAAGCTTTGTGAATTCAATCCCAATTGTCCCCATTCCTCATCTGGACGAGTTTAGACTGGCCCATTCAAATCTGCTCAAGTCGTCCAGAAATATATTTCTTTCAACCAAAACAAGAGCCAGAACGTCCGAATTAAAGAAATGCACAGGTGCGTGTCATGCCCCAAGCAAGTTAGCAGACAATAGGCAAATCCTGGTGTACCCGTCCTTGCCATTGTGGCTGTAAACCACTGTGCCACAGCTGTCCTGAGTAATAATGGGATAAGCCCTATAGCCCCAACCACTGAAGTGCCACTGAGGCACTTGCCTACGTCTTACTCAATATTGATGGATGTTTAAGGTTCGTTTGCCCACTTTTTCTAAGGAACCTGACATTCGTAGTGCCTACAATGATTCCTTAGGTGTATGCATTGTCAACGAGATGCTGTTGTGTAGAGTGAAGTCATCATGCTCCCTTGTTTATTCGATAAGGTACTGCCCTGTTGAGCCGATATAGATCTCGCCACTGTGAACCAACTAGCTCATATGAATCTTGTGGGCTAGAAAAGAGTCTTTACGTCTGAAACTTTTATCTGTAACAAACGTGTTTTCTCCTTCTACAGATAGATCCGATTAAGAAAGGAACTGAAATAACTTTAAATGTTTTACTGCCGGGTAGTTTCACAAATCGGTATGAAACCTAAGGCTCTAGAAAAAAGTGGAGTATCTTCACAGAACCACGGCATCATGTTTGTAACTCAGCGTTTGTGCACTGTTACTTTCTTTTGTCAAAGAGCGGGCGATTTGTGTATGTGTACAAATTTGTTTTTTATGCAGGACAAACGTTACTTTCTACGTTGATGACGGAGAAGCGCCCGAGAAGGTCACCTATTTCCTGGACGATGGTGCGTGTTACGTTGTTTAACTTGGTGGTGGCATCGTCAGTGCAATTTAAGACTTTTTTTGTTATGTACATCCCGACCCCCCCCCCCCCCCCCCCCTCAGAGATTCATTCATGAGCTATGGACGCCTTCCGTTTTCTTCGCCAAATAGTTAGGAAACTGTGAGGAAGGAGCTTTGAATCTTAGTGGCAGTACTGCGAAAAGATTTAGTGCATTCAACGCATGCTTTTGAAATCTACTGGCATGAAAGCTGTTTTCCCTGTTTGTCTTTCAAATAAAGTTCCGATATGCACAATGCATTGCGATTATTTCGGTACCTTTCGCCCAGTATCTGGAACGCGTTAAGACATCCTTGACCAATTCAGGAGAAAGAGGTGCGCATAACACCGGAACATTATACTCGGAAGCAGCACTACGCACGCATTATTATGAACAGAAGTAATTTATCGAACCTTTCTATTTTTGGTGCGCGGATAGGTGGAATACTGATTAAGAAAATGGCTGAGCTGCTAATTAAGTGGGGTGAACATGAATACACTGACCTACATACATGGGTTCATGTTCCTCGTGTTTTTCGTGTGCAGCACCTATTTTCTCTATACAACAAATCCACTAATTCAGCAACATGCTTTGTTGAAATGAAATCAAATCTGTTATGTTCCCACTCGTACTTTGAGGCTTCCATCCCGGTGTGTCGTTGGTATGCTATGGAAATTTTTATATTTACGTGCACATGCTGGCTGTCAGGCAACAGAAACCATGATTCCAAAACCAGTGGAAGCTTCTAAAGAATAATCCGCTTAGAACAAGCGCGTGCTAAGTTCACAAGCATGGTGCACCGTCGTGCAGAACTCAAACGGTATCGAGTGACCGGTGCCTTTTTGGGTTCTACAATTTTGCATTTGAAAAAAAAACTTTGCTCTGACTTATATAGGACAGGTACTACAACGTGCCGCATAAAGCAGTAAGCACCTCACAGGTCGGTAACTGACGTGTGTGTGCGTACCTTGTGCGCATTCTGTGCTTTTTAGTCGAGTTCATTGTCTCGTCACATTTTTACACCTGACACACAGACAAACTTAAACAAAGCAGCAAAACAACAAAGTGCGGACGTTAAATTCTCAGCCAGCGATTGTTTGTATATATTTTTATTGCTACTGTGTGAATATGGGCTGCAAATTTATTAAGGGCCTGTAAGTTATTAATGGGCAATAATTAAAAGGCAGAACGGCATAAAAAATTAACCCACTCACATGCCACCATTTTGTTCAGCTTGCTCTCTGCTTGTCCTTCACCTTGGTACAGCGGTTTCATTAGACTGCCGACTATCACTGTTCAGTCCATTGGTAGACCTTCGCAGCGTTTACAAAAGCAAACGCTTTTTTCCAGTGGAATTTCTTGCTGGCCTGAAAGATAACAAAATCGTGACATGAGCTGCTTTCGACAATCAGACTGACGCCGTGTTTTAGTGAGTTACTGCGATCGGCGTTCTCGCATACTGTTAATCGCATGCATTACAGTTCCTTTCTCAGCGACTAGTACACGTGATGCTGAACTCTGCGGAGCGCTGTTTCACGGTTTTTTTTTAATATAGCCTGCCTGTGCTGAGAAATGCTTACAAAACAAGTATTAGGTCTCTGCAGGCTTTACTTCTGTCCGCTCGCGATCCCTGAGCCTCGCTCTGTCATTCCTCTCTCTATATATACCTGTTAATCCTATCTTTTGATTCCCTCGTCTCCCCCCATCCCTTGTGAGCTACTGTCGGATGTCGCACTTGAAGCAGACAGTTACGGGGCTCACTTTACTCTTATTTTCCCTTTAAGAACCACATAAGAAGGCAGTACAAGTGCAACAACTCAAAATGTGCCTCTATTTGCCCGGATGTACGTCAACAGAGGCAACCATTGCGATTGTTATCCAGTGCACTCACATTACGGCCGTAATCCTGAGAACGTACATCAGACAATTAGCCCGTGCTTCCAGTCATGGCCATGTCACGCTGACTTCTGACAGACGCCAAGCATGGTTCGCTAAATCTATGGTCAAATAAAACTACAAACTTCCCCCGGGCTTCCACATGGCATCTAAATCATCGATGCCCTCTTGGTGCCTTATTCAACGCGCAGTGAACTTCTGAGTGCCAGGAATCCAGAAAAAATCTTCGATGCCATCGCCTGTGCTGGAGTAACTCTATCTGCCTCTTTATGCGGACCGTGTATATATGTACTTATGGTTCCACAAACCTCATGTCTTCGTCCCGTGCAGTAGTTGTCCGAGCAAGAGCTATGACAATCATTATCAGGACTGACCACCCACGATGTCAACAGCTGTGGAACTAGCTGTTGTGCACGCTTCCTTTTGTTTGGTTGATCGCGAACCACCTTAACAGTGGTTGATCTTAGCCGACTTCATGGCAGCCCTACAATCTGTGCTATCAGCGCTGTGTCGTGGCCCATACGAACTGCTCGTATTGTAAATTCTGCATTTTCGTAACACATTCCATGAGAAAGGGAGCCACTTGCGTTCCAGCGGCTTCCAATTCAATGCGATGTCATAAGAAACAAACCCCATGATAATGCCGCTCGGACTGCTCTTGACGGCACACACGAGGACACCATATTACTTTGAAAGTCATGCGCGGCCAACAGACTTCGAGGGCTTGTGCTGGAGATGGCGCTCTCTCTATGGTACCCACTAAGCAGCCAGTTAAGCGGACCAACCTCATCCCGGCTGCGGCGGCTGCATTCCCGATGGAGGCAGAAATGTTGAAGGCCCGTGTGCTCAAATTTGGGTGCACGTTAACGAACCCCAGGTCGTCGAAATTTCGGAGTCCTCCACTACGGCGTCTCTCATAATCATATGGTGATTTTGGGACGTTAAACCCCACATATCAGTCAAAACCGGACCAAGATCAACATTACCTGCGCTATTTGATTGACCTCTATATGCCACCCGGATCGCACCGAATAGAGGCCACACTGCTTTAACGTTCATGGTTTGGTGTAGAATTTACGAAATATTATTCCTTTCGCATTGCATTCCTTAGCCAACAATAGTCTATGCAGTGCCTGTAGTTGCAAAGAGACACTACGCCACACCCTGTGCGACTTTGTGGCCTCTAATATGCAGTGAAAATCACTAGTATTCATTGTAGCGCACCCAGTCAATAGAACAATCTCTGTTGAATCTGTTCTAGCATGTCGTGTACAAGGCGGCCAAGAAACTGCTGAGGGTTTCTAGGAAGGTGGACCTGGACAGGCGGCTGTGATTGCGATGTCGCATTTGACGCCAGATTATTGAACTCTTACTGACTAGGTTCTTGTGCACGTGCTGTGCGTTATGCTATGTATCTGAACGTTTCCTCTCTTTCCTCTTCTTTTTTCCATCTCGCCATCTCGTTGCACGTGAAGGGTAGAAAGCGCGTTATCACGGACTGCTTGGCCTCCCTATCCTTCCTTCTCCACCATTTATTCTATCTCTAGCACAACACGGGCGAGAAAGCTCCGATACACGAATTTCTTTTTCAACAGACCGACGCAAGAGCTACACGACAATACGACTAATAATTATAGTTGCTTGTCGGCATTGCCCACAGGCGAAAACAATTGTTGGCTGCTATAAACGCATATACACTCAACAACAAAATTTTGCGAACCACGCAAACACGTGCCAAGCTGCGTGTCTGCGGCACCTAGTGGTGCCCCGTCTACCATAAACAACAGTGCTATACCGGAAACGGCTCTTCTTGTTGTTCACTTGCCTATCAGTTTCTTCCGGCTGCGTAGAGCATTAATATAATGGTAGAAAGCGCACAATTCGTATACGAGAACACATCAAAATAGACACAATTGCTTTTCTCTCGTGTTCTTGTGCAAACGTTGCGCACTTCTTCACAAGGTTGATTCATATAAAGTTGCCGGTGAATATGTATATTAAGCGCATTGTTTGTGCAAAATATTGGTTACAGCATAAATGACGCATATCCCGTATTCTTCGCCCATTATTCCTAGCTATTGGATTTCAGAATTTAGTCCAATGCCATTGCCTGAGTGTCTCCGTGGAACTCCTCAGCTTCGAGACTTGCGCAATACTAGAGAAGAGCAAATGTGAACTGGTAATGTCGCTGTCACGATTGTTTAGAACGCTTCAACCTTTTACCGTCCTCCGCCATCTACACATGATATAGTGTATGACATTACGTTCTTTTTTAAATAAATCATGTGACCACTTTTCCTGAAGTTGATACGTGTCTTTATGCCCTCCACTTATTCCAGACACAACGACCATTTACACTGGATCCTGCCTGTACACGGACTATTTGACCTGCGCTGTCAACAGAGTTTTTCTTCCGAGGCCATGACCGTAAGGCTGCTGTGTGATTTATTTACCAATGCTTTGATCTCTCTATTTTGGACTGTTATTTGCAGTGTATTACCAAATGAAGGGCACAGCTTAGGGAAGGCTTTTTTTTACTCATTGTTCACCACCCTGTCATCTAAGGCACCCACACGATCGTTAGGGAGGCAATTAGAATTTGGTGTCTCTGATCTTCATCGTTGATGTGAGGCGTTGGTGCAGGTCGCAATTTCAGGGAATACCAGAAGTGTAAGACTGCCAGTTACATTTGCCTAATACTATGTCTACATGCTCACCTAGATGCGTCCCTGTACTCACTGCATTGGTGCCTTTCAGAGGTTGTCTATTGTTGAATAAGACAGAGAGAACGCAACTCACCAATCATTATGATACTGCCTAATGTGAATTCTGAGCAAAGCGTCATGTTGGGGCCAGGCCAAGTGCGTTTAAAATTTCGGGTTTTTACATGGTATCGACTACGCCATAAGTCACAATTTTTGTGGTGTGAGCTAGCACTCGCCCCAACATTTCTCGTCTTTCTGCAGGTAAGCGAGGTAGCCGCTACGCATCTGTAAGGTGTTGGGTGCACTTTTTTATGTACGTGTGGCTAACGTAACGACAACGATCAGTTATGGCTGAGCACTTTACAGTGGACAGAAAGCATTCAACTACACACTTGTCGCACAACTATTGTGTGATGACTGGTCTTTACCTGAAAAATTCTTTCACGCTCTGTTACACAGGTTACCATGATTCCTTGCTGGAAATGCCACCTGTATAGAGTTATTTGGCAAAGAAGTTTAGCGCACCACCGTGGTTCTCTGGTGAAATGCTCACTTTCTCGGCTGAGGGCACAGTCGAAATTTTATTTGACCCTGAGCATTTTTAAAAATTCTTTCATGCCTGTCAGTTAGGCCACCAGCGACAACGGCTATGTGACTTCATGCAGCAATAAGAGTCCGTGAGCTGCGATTTAGAAAACTACGTAAAATTTTGTAGCACTCAAGCTCTCACTAGTTGAGGTGTGTGCCGCTTCCGCAAAGTTTATATAATGGAGGAGGCAACAGTTACGTAAGTGTAAACTTTTTTCATGGGCTATCATGAGGGGCTCTTCGTCGCTGCGTACTTTGCTTTTCAAGTGCATAAAAGTGTACCTGTTCATTCTTTCATTGCTGCTGCAGATTGTATGCTCTGGGTGAAACCTGATGTCCTTCAAGCAGTCCCCCGACACTGTGTCGACAACTACAAGGCCAACTGTCCGACCAGGTTTCCAACTTACGATCCCGAGCGCTGTCATTTGGACGAATAAAAGCAAACGCAGCGATGCACCTGCTACTGCGCTAGAATCAGCACTGAAAGAAGTTTTTTTTTTTCACTCCAAGCCAATCATTGAGTGCCTGGCTGGCTCGACAAGAGCTAGATACACCTTCGAGAAAGCAAATATAATACGCGTAAAGTCAACTTGGCCAAGGTTGTTGACCCACTTTGTTAGCACTACTGTGGTGTCCTCCCATTCAGGCAGATCAGCATAACTATTGAATGGATGGCCAACACAGTTTCATTGGCTAATCGTGTAGGCACACTACCAATTACATCGAAAGCAAAAGAAGTCTTTTTTGCTTGTCCCATACGAAGTTTATTTTTTTGACATCTTTCCTGATATACTGTTGAAGTGAATTGTGCATTTTGCCTTATGATTTATTATCAAATCTATGAAAGATAGAAAGCACGTTCTCTGTGCATGTGGCAGTTAGTGTAGTATACGCGATACCGTTAGTAAGCGTATACGAGCTTAGATTTTAATATTCATTTTTTGAAAGTTTGCGTTCACATTGTGTCCACGGCCACGTCAGCTGATGTTAACCCTACAAGAAAGTTGGCATTTCATCATGAGACCCAAGTTCTGCACTGATGTTTCGTTCGTCAAACCTTCAAGCAAAAACAAAAGTATGAATAATGAATTTTGCCCTCGCAGCTTTGACCTATCGCGTTGTCATGTCAGCATGAAGGTGGTGCCGGTGGATAGACTTTTTCGCATTTTAATGAGAATAATCGTGATACTTGCCCCAATCTCAATATTGCTGTACATATTCTGTGTGTTACAGTTTTTCTTCTCTGTCATATAAAGCATGGTAGCGTAGGACATGCCTTTCATACAGCAATTTAGAGGCTTTTATCTATCCTCATTACCCATTGGTACAAACATTTTCCAGCATCTCCATTGATTGGATAATGGTGAGGTGGGCGAAGCTTCCGAGTTTTATGGTGATACTGTGAATCTTCCGTGAACCTCATCTGAGAAAACTCCGAGAACCTCGCAGCTTCCCACTCGCAATCTGGGGTCCGTTTCTCGTTGCGCACGTTTCGCATTGGCGTCCTTGGCGCACACCGTTTCCAGATTCGCCCGCGCAGCTCTCGTGGTCCGACATGTATGGTGACAATCCAGGAGAAAGAGAAATAACGCGTGTGCCAGCGCAGCGCCGCGCCCTTCGCCAGCAGCCATTTGGAGAGAAGGGTAGGGAGCCTACATACGCCGCGCCTTCGTCGTTTAGGGTGGCGACAGCAGAGTCCAAGGTTGCCTAACGGTGGCTGCGGCGGCCGCCAAACTTGACGGGCCGCCATATTGGTCCCCTAGTGCCCGCCCGACCCAGGGAGCCGGCCTGCGCCGCGCCTCCGTAGGCGCGGAACAGACTATCTCTGGAGCGACCTGCTTCGAAACGATCGTACGTGATTAGCGGTTATCGCCAAGAAGCTTTCCAAAAACTTCCTGCTACTAGGAACAGTTGAGATCGCGGGATCATTCGTTTAATGCGGCATTCACGTCCTTGGTAAAAGCTCGCCAGTGCCTCCTTTGGAGGCACTGGCTGCACGTAGAAGCACGTAGAAGCGTGGAAATGGCCGGGGATTTTATGTCGCCTTGCTTCGCCGTCGTTTTTAACCAGGAAAAGTTCTGTCTTTAGGTAATTGCACGATGACGCCCGATTAGAGAGACGGTAATTTCATTTTCAGTTTTGGTTTTTGCCTTCTATATCATTTTAATTGTTTTAGCACTATAACCCTTTTATTTATTATGCACTATTATTGTGCAGATACAAGGCACTACATGTTGTTTTGTGCAGATACAAGGCACTACATGTTATTAGGTTACCCCGCAAATGCTTTAGCATAGAAAATATCGGTGTGGAAGTAAAGTTTCTGATACAAGAAAAATGGCCCTCACAGGCTAAACCACTGTTGCCCATAAAACCTCCCCAGCCTATGCTTGAATCGTTCTGCCCGTACTGGGAACGTGCCCAATTTGTAATTTAACATGTGTACACACACTAACAAAAATATTGTTGAGGTGGCAACACAAAATATTACATCTATGGCTGAACATCCAAGTCGTCATGCCTTGTAGCGTACTTTTATTACACGCATAAAGCAAGACAAAATTCACGTAAAATTATTTTATTGCACTGCTTGCGTGACATGCAGATGCCCCCTTCTTGAACAACAGGCGTACATGAGAAATACAACAAACACACAAAGTAAATGTGTCCGAGCTAATAAAGGCATCGAAATATAAGAAGCACTTTATGTAGCAGGCTAATGCTGTAAAAGTGATGTCACTCATTTGTGACTTTTTCCAATGGAGCTGTTGAAAAAAAAAACTGAACACACAGGCAACGAGCAAGAATAAAGCCCAGATGGGCTACACAGGTGGACAATGCATATGAGACCAATGCAGAGATAACTAATGAAAAAGAAAGCAAATAGAGAAGAATACGGCTTGCTACACTGATGACAGTGAGAAGAAAGCATTTTACACAACGACTGCATAAGTAGTACTTTGAGCACAGATACATACATGAACCAATATATTGGGGAAATAAATCGATAAGAAAATCCCTCAAGCCACACTGGGTTAATTTAAATTACCCCACTGAAAATTACATGACATTAGTCGAGAATAAAAACACGTCGTGAGCAACTGGCACAATGGAGAGCAACGTCTCAAGAGAAAGGTGCAATGTGAATGAAGGCACACCAGTGTTCCCTGGTTTTGAATGCTTTTTTCGGGCTGGTACTGAGATATTTTACCGCTATTTTGAACACACTATAATGTGAATTATACAAATAAGCATCAATTTTCCTTTATCATCATTGTACGGCAAAGAAGTTGCATAGAGTCCTTAACAAAGGCAGTCCTAAATTATGATTCAACGTACCACCCAAGTCGTTCAAGTGTCCTCACATAAAAAAAAATAATCGCAGCTAGCGTACGCTCTACGGTTCTAGCTGGCTGCTGAACTACTCCAAGTTTGCCGCAGCACAGGTTTTGCTTGCTGCCCCATTTACTCTGTGTTTATGCTGCTGCCTGAGGTAAATCTTTAGTCTTGTTCGGACATATTTTTCGAGAAGCAGCTTCTCTACAGTAGGCTTGTGCAAACTGCAACATTCCAAGTGCATTTTTACAGACTTCTGCAGGGCACTTAGAATGCTTGAAAATGGTTTTTTCGCCTTCATGACTTCACCCACTTCAGCAAATTTTTGAAGTTTTCTTCACAATCCATCAAAATCGTCATTACAGACATGCTTGGCTGGATGAGATTTCCGGCATTTTTTACGTATTCCTTCAACTGGATGAGGCTGCTGTATTTCCCAGGAGCACTGTCAGTCGGTACTGCTTTACAGCTTTTGCAGTTGTCTATAAACTTTAAGCAGACCTCAGAAGGGAACCACCGATGTACGCAGATATGTTCTTACCACGATAGGGAAAGAGAGTTGGGACAGCATCCGGCCTCACCTTTTTCAGTCCATCTTGTCGGTGCTGCTCAAAACTTGAATCTTCAAAATGTGCCTAGAATAAAAAAGTCCATCTTAACAATGTTTGAAAACCACATATTGCATTTTAATTACTCGCTAGCGAGGCAGAATGCTCGCTTTCGCGCGTTTTTTATTTTTTGGAATGAAAATAGATTATGCCCTCTAATTGCAGTACGGAAATGTTTATGGGGCGGCTCGCCACAAAAATCTTTGCAGACTTTAGTGACCCCTCGTACGCAGTTTGGCAGTGTTGCAAGAAAGAATCAATCATATCTTCCACCCCCGCGCGGAATATCAGCCCAAGCAACGCAGGGAACAATTGCCCGTCTGCGGTAGGGGGGATTTCACAAAACCTACGAGGAGAGTCTACGGTAGAGGGGGAGATTGCCAGCCAATTTTTTCTGCGACCCGATGAATATCCAGCCCACGGCAGCTTCAAAATCGATTGCCGAACTCTGAATTGCAGCGTGTTCGAAGATTTGGCAGTCACTTAGTGACCGCTTTTGTCGCTTGGTCTCGACCAACTTTTGTCGCAGTGACGAGAATCGCGTGTTGTTTTTTTTAGCAAGCATGAACGGTCCGGGCCTTTCGGTGATGTTTTATAACCAGGCTTAGTTTTGAACATACACGTCCCATGCATGCGTAATCCGGCATAATCGAACCACGCAAATCGTCCACTTGCGCACACGCTGCATTCGCACGCTAAATTGCCGCTCGGCTACGCGCAGCCGTCACTGGAAGCCATCAAAACAGGCCATGGCTTCCGCTACTGATGCGCAACGGCGCTGCGGCGACGGAGGAGAGGTTGAGGACACGACGACGCTCGCTGAAAGCGTTGCAGGTGCATAGCACTTACAAATTAGAATATAGCTGCAAGTACGCGTGCGAAAAACATGAAGCGAGGTGCAATACTCACAGCGCAAACACGAGAAGCAGCAGTGGGCTCCCAGCGGTCCCTTTTCACTTGTACGAGCAAGCGCTTTCTTCGGTTCGGGCTGGCCGGGAAGCGGAACATCCGTATGCCTTTTCTGCAATGGTTCGTACATTGCGGAACGCAACAGCCGCGCATTTTCGCTGCTCATACAACTACCAACACGTTCACCGAGCTGGCATGGTTACGAAAAGCTTCCCCTGGTCAACAAAAGTCACGACGAGTTACAGGCGGCACGCACGCAGACACGCGCACACGGCGGCAGTGAACCGACTGGGGCACAAGATGGCGCCGCGGCTGCCCCGTTACTATGGCAACGTGTGCTGGCAACGCTGCCCGATGGCGGGAGGCGGCACGAGCTGTGTCAAAGAGTGGCACCACCCTAAACGACGAAGGCGCGGCGCGGCGTATGTAGGCTCCCTAGAGGATGGATGGATGGATGAATGGATATGGCTGTACCCTTTAGATCGGGCGGTGGCTAGCGCCACCAAGCCGTAATACTTAATGAACTCAAAACTATATTTATTTATTTTTTTCCCTTAGTAAGTGAGTATGAGGATTCGTACTTTGCAGTGAAGAGTTTAATTTTCACTCGTGCCTTGACTTTAGCCACCAATC